TTTTTTATTAATTATAATATTTGGTGTAATTTGTATTTTTGAAAAAAAAATTCCTTTCCATAAACGGCACCAAAACAGGCCCTTTGATTTTTTGTATAAAGAATAAGTCAAAAACCCGTGTTATATTGATGCTCTACAGTTCATGAATTTGAAGGGTCCTAATTGAAGTAGTTATGTGGGGTTCATACGGTCGAGTACCTTTCGAAGACAATAAAGTTCAGTTTAATTTCTTGACCTGATGGGTACCAAACTTTTTTTCCACTGGAAGCGACCCAATCTTTAGGTGCCTGATAGGCAGGAGCCGTTGGATTAGAGGGCGACTTTACCGAATAAAATTTATCAAAAAAATAATTAGATAAGTATCTGTAAGAGCAGGTCCGAGGTGCTCAACCTCGGACGTACGGTAGTAAATCTTTTACAACCGAAGTAAGGAATAAATCCAGAGCTTCCCGCTCGAACAGCAGCATAGTAGTTACGATGGACATCCTCATATCAAATTCCGAATATCTCGCTTGGTTTAATCTCTGGGTCCCAAAATAACTACTTAGAGATACGCATCAAATCCCGAAATAACTGCTTTGAGATACACATCAGATCCCGAATATTTTGCTTGGCATGTCACGTGGTTTCTTCATGGGAACATATAAATACCCCTCAAGGGCCACGCCAAAAGGTAATTGAAACCAACCCTAAGCTCCTTGTTTCTCTGCCCTAAAGGTAGCTCCGATTATTGCTGACTTAAGCATTGGAGTGTCTACCCCGAGGATCTACCTCGGGGCTTTGCAGGTGAATCCAGAGCGCAAGTACGGACTGTAGAAGGACTTCTGGTTTGGTGCAGTTACATTTTGGCGCCGTCTGTGGGAAACTGAACTAAAGGCTACCTTGTTGCTCTTATCATGGTTAAAACTAGGTCAGCCCGAGGTGGAAACTCGCCTCAGCCTCTTGGACGAGGTCAGGTCCCCAGTAACCTTCCACCTCATCCCCCACCCCCAATCCCGAATGCATTCCCTCATGTTGACCATACAGAAGGAGGGGATGAAAATCAGCCACACAATTCGGCTCGCAACTCAACCTCTACCACTAACCAAGACGTAGTTGCAACTCAGCTCGCTGCCATGCAACAGCAGTTTGGTGTCTTTCAGCTAGTGCTGGCTCAGCTATTAGCCCGGAACAATCCTGGTGATCCACTCATCAACCTACTTAATCCTGCCCCACCACAACCCCCAACCCCACCACAAAATCCTAAACCAGTTCAACATGCTCCCGCTGTTAGTGAATCTCAGGGCCAATCTCACATTGCACCAGCTCAGCAACCCCCTCATGATGATGTCACTCGACGTCTAGATAGCTTAGAAAAGCTAGTGATTGAACAGCGAGGTGTCCCACCTCCACACCCTGCTACTGATTCTGTACCCCACCCTCTCAACACCAATATTATACTGGAACCCTATCCCGTTGGCTTTAGAATACCACAGCTTGAAACTTATGATGGGACGAAGGACCCCGATGATCATCTACATGCTTTCTACTCTTGCATGCAGGCCCAGAACGCCTCTGATGCGTTGATGTGCAAGATCTTCCCTTCTACCCTTTGAGGCAATGCTTGAACTTGGTACTACAGTCTACCCTCGAGGTCAATCAACTCTTACACAGAACTGGCATCTGCTTTTGCCACAAAGTTTTCCAGTAGAAGGTTGATCAGGAAAACCACTTCTGAGCTAATGCAGGTTAAGCAGAGGGATGGAGAGTCTTTGAAGAATTTTATGAGCAGATTCAATGATGTAGTGCTGGAGGTTAACTCTTTCGACCAAGCTGTGGGAATTACAACCGTGATCTCAGGTCTTAGCCATGAGAGATTCCGAGATAGTTTGCTCAAACATCCTGCCAACACCTTCAGCGAGGTAAATGATAGATCATTGAAATTCATAACTGCTGAGGAATATGCCCTGTCACAGAACATAACTCCTATTAAGAACCAACACCCGGACTGGAGAGATGAGAATCTGAACAGGAAGCAGATGAAGACAACACAGAACCGAGGTCCGATGTCGGCTTCCACCTCGAGATTCGGAAGGCCGAACTCAACACCTCCGCAACAACCTGCAGGTAAACCTCCAGTTAATTGAACTCCTTTTAATTTACCGATGTCACAAATCTTCATGCAGATTAAGAATAAGATGGACTTAAGGCGTCCGGGTCCAATGAGAACTGTTGCTGCTACCAGAGACCATACCAAGTATTGTGATTTTCATCAAGATCACGGTCATACAACAGAACAATGCAATAGTCTGAGGTCCGAGCTGGAAAGTCTAGCGTAGAAAGGAATGTTGAATGAGTACATCTAGAGGGTTGAACAGCCACGGTTTGTCAGGGAACAAGGGACACAGCCTCAAGGAGTCCGTAACCCGCCAAACAGTTAAGGTGTGGGATATCAGCAAGCCCCACCCCCGCTCCCACCACCAGCTAGAATTATACACATGATTACAAGAGGCCTGGAAGCCGGTGGACTGAGCTCTAAACAGAGAAAGTTGTACGTCAGAGAGGTTAAGCATCCAAACCGCGCCTAGAAACGGAAATTTGATGATGCTGACTGGAAGAATCAACCTATTACTTTCACACCTGCTGATTTTGACACAGTCGTCACACCTCACAATGACCCCCTAGTCACTTCTGTCACGATCAATAATTGTGAGATGCAGCGCGTCCTTGTTGACACAGGGAGTGCACTAGACATCATGTACTTCCATTGTTTCGAAAGTCTCGGGTTGGATCCGGCTTTGTTGCAGTGGTATGATGGTCCCATCTACGGATTCAACAACCAGCCAGTCCCAGTTGAAGGAGTCCTCACCATGAATGTTGCATTTGGAAGTGGCCAGAGTTATGTGACCCCTTCAGTTAGGTTTCTAGTAGTCAAGATGGCGTCCTCAATCAATGTCGTCATTGGTCGACTCACACTGACTGAAATCCGAGCTGTGGTTTCCCAATCTCACCTATGCATGAAGTTCCCAACTCCTACGGGAATAGCAACGCTGCGAGGGAACCAGGAGGTGACTCGACATTGCTATATCACCTCGGTAACACAACCTCAGAAAGGTAAGGCTCAGACACCCGAAATCAATCCCAAACGGATTCCTGATGATCGGCAAGTTATGGGTGTTGAGATAGTAGATAACCGACCAGAAGATGAAACCAGAGCTGCCCCAGTTGAAGATGTGGAGGAGGTACAGATTGATAACAGAGATCCGAGCCGAAAAACGTAAATTGGGACTAAATTGAACCCGAAGGAAAGAGCAGAGCTAATAGCTTTTCTTTGGGCCAATAAAGACGTTTTTGCATGGACTTCAGCAGATATGCCGAGAATCCCCACTTCAGTTTTTCAACATAAACTCAGCACCAATTCCCTCAGAAAACCAGTAGCCCAGAAGCGGTGCCTCTTTGGGAGAGAGAGGTTACAGGTCATTAAAGAAGAAGTTGAGAAACTCCTACAAGCTAGTTTTGTCAGAAGGGTCGATTACTGTGAGTGGGTCGCCAATTTGGTGTTGGTGAAAAAAGCGAACGGTAAATGGCGGATGTGCATTGATTACACTAACCTCAACGATGCATGTCCAAAGGACTGTTATCCAATGCCAAACATTGATAAGCTGGTTGAGGCAGCTTCGGGAAATGAGAGATTAAGTTTCTTAGATGCATACTCAGGCTACCACCAGGTCCCAATGGCTCCTGAGGATGAAGAAAAAACCTCGTTCTATGCTGGCAATGAGATCTATTGCTATGTAATGATGCCCTTTCGGCTTGAAGAACGCAGGTGCCACTTACCAGAAGATGGTTACCATCGTATTCCGAGCTCAGATAGGACGAAATCTGGAAGTTTATGTTGATGATATAGTGGTAAAGAGTTTGAAAGCTGATGATCACTTAACTGACCTTGAGGAGACATTCAACAATCTCAGATAGAATAGAATGAGGTTAAACCTAGCCAAATGCATCTTTGGTGTGGAGTTTGGAAAATTCCTGGGTTTCATGGTTTCCCAGAGAGGGATTGAGGTCAACCCAGAGAAGATCAAAGCAATTGCCGAAATGGAACCGCTGAAGTCAGTGAAGGATATACAGAGGTTGATTGGAAGGGTAGCAGCTCTTCATCGGTTCATATTGAAGTCAGCAGATAAGTGCCTATTGTTTTTCAAGATTATGAGGTCAGCTGCCCAGAAGGACGAATCAGGTAAATAGAAGAAGTTCGAGTG